ATCGTCTGCAGGTGTCTGGAGTTTGGAGTGATGGAGCTGAATGGCAATGCTGTGTTAATTTACGTGCGCCTCCTTTCATTTTATAAAACTATTGCCGTTTATGAGGAAAGCTTATTGAGTTAAATCACTTATCCTGCAGTAATATAAAAATCCCGCAGCTCAGGAATACTGACATGCATGAGAGTCGGGCTCACTTTTCTTCCCGAGCAGAGGAGGAACAGGAATGATTATTTCGTATCACTTTACGAAAGAGACCGTAGTGTAATATACCTGCTGCGCATTGATAAATAGCACCAGCAGATAATAAGGGCCCTAGGCAAGGAGCAGCAAAGAAAAAAGGCTTTCCAGCATGTGAACATAAATGGTTTAAATGTGAACTAAATTGGCCCGATCATTTCTCAGATTTGCAAAATTAAACCATGCCCAATTGTCAACATCACTGAGATTTATGAGACAAATATAGCCAGAGCAAGAGAAATCTATAACAGCCTTGCTAAAGATGCTTGTAGGCTTTAAGAAGCACACAACGTTTATGAATCTAAGTGTTTATAATTTTATTGCCGTGCATGCAATGCTCAGCAATGCAGGGCCTGAGAAGTTCATCAGCCGGGGACACTGGGCACCAGAGCTGCAGGTGAGCCTGGCTCAGCTCCACATCTCTGCCCTTAGGACAAAGTCTTGGCACAAGGAGCTGTGGAGTGGGACATTGTGCAGTTTGACACCACAAAGGTACACAAAGCACTGGGTACAAATAAGGGTCCTGGGAAGGAACCAGCTGCAGACATGACTGTAAGTGATGGAGAAACCTGCCAAGGGAAGTCACAGACCTGGTAGCCCACGCTCTCAGGCTGTGCCAAGCATGTTTGCTGATGTCCTTCTCTTTCTCTGTGCCCTGCAGAGCCCCTCGTGCCGCACACCACCAGTGGTGCCATGGGGGAGAGGCGCCTTGCTGTGCCTCGCTGCTCCTTGCTGCACCTCGCTGCACATCACTGCTCCTCGCCGAGCTCCCTCTCAAGCCCGGGGAACCCACGGTGAATCCACAGCCGGTGTAACCTTCTAACCAAGCCAAGGAGATGGGATTTCACCCCCACCCCAGGTAGAGGCTTGCTGAGAGCCATGCTACCCCACCCCTAAATCCCACCAGGGCCCATAGGTTTCTAAGCAAGCACCTGAAATTAGAACTATAAAGCACCTCAGTGATGTTGCTAAACATCAAAAAAATAGAAAAGCTTATAGCTACTTTACAAGCAAAAATACTTTATTTCCTTGTTAGCTCTAAGAACGCCCATGTTACAGGGGCTTCTGATGGCTTTGTTCAGCTCGGAGGATGGGCAGCAGGCAGAAGTGCCCCCCTAAATTCTCCCCAGCTCTTTCTCAGCTTCCCAGCCCTGGAGAGAGCCCTGGGGCTGTGCCTCCCGCAGTGCCATCAGCACCCCAGAGGAGCCTGAGACCTCAGGAGGCTTTCTTAGTGAATCCACGTCTCAGAGTGCCTTAAGAGCTGCTCAGGCTGTAAAATCTGCTAGGTGCTTTCTTTCCAGAACACTATTCCCCGTTAACACAGGTCTGAAAAATCAAAGTACAATCATAGGAGGAGGCAGAAATCCCATTATAGTCCTCTCTTCTTCGCAATCTCTAAGTAACACTTAGTTTTTTTCCATATGAAAGGGAAATGGGTAACAACAACCTATTCCTATGAAGAGACAATTTTCACTCCTTCTTGGCAACTGTAGCCAGGCCAGCATCCTTTTTTTCCCCTCCCAGGCAGATTAACCGATTTCTCCTTAAGAACAGGACCAGGACAGCGCGGTGCACCCGGCTGCTTCACCCAGGAACGTTACCAGGACCCAGAGGTGCCCCCAGCTGTGAGAGCTCATGGTGGGTGGGGGTACCCTGGGTGCTGCCAGGGGAAGCCTGGGGCTTGCAGTTGCTGCAGGGGAACCCCTTTTCCCCCGCAGCCCCCGGGGCCGGGAGCACATCTGTGAGCCGCAGCCGGTGCCTGGCAGCGCTCGGAGCTTGGCTCCAGCCATTAGGAACTTGCCTCTCTTGGTGAGATGACTCGAAGAAGAACAAGTTAGACAAATGAATTCGCTAATGACTTCCTTCCCTCCTACTTTAATTGTGGGATAATTCACACTTCCTGCTCCCGAAGTGGGCTGCTCCCTCGCGCAGCCTCTCTCCGGCTCCCGATCCATTCACTGCTAGGCAACCCCAGCAGTGCTGCTGAATAAATGAGCCAGACAAATAGGGCCAAGATTGTCAATTGGCATCAATCTGCCTTTTAAAGCTCCGCTAAAAATTGTGTGCTTGTTATTTTAAGAAGGCGCAGAACCGAGTGCCTCACGTGTTGCCTGGCCCGAGGTGCGGGCAGCTGCAGCTCCCCGGGGAGCAGCGCCGGCAGGGCCCAGCCACCCGGCTCTGCCCAGGTACCTCTCCCCATGAGGTTTGCATTTTGGACACCTCAACCCAGCCCTGGGCCCAAATAATGTCCCATATAGAAATGCTTTGTGTGCATGCTTGAAAGCCTCAACTCTCCTTTGATATCTCTTCTTTTCTGGCTTAAAACCATTGGGATCTTCGGGCTGGTGCCATTTGGATGCAGGGCAGAGGCAAGAAGCTCGAGAAGAGACTGGGGGCCAGAGAAAGCTGTTGGGTAGGGCACGGCTCCCTTCCCTACCCAGGTTTGCTTGCCTCATTAATGTTTACAAGTCTAATGTATATATTAACATTTATAAATACCGTACAGCCAGATAAATACAGGCTGATGGCTTCTTGCCCCTTTTCCCAAGCCTGCCCTGTGCCGCTGCGCCCTGAGCCCCCTGCCCGTGGCTCTGCCCCAGGAGGGGCCCATGAGCATGCAATTGGCACGCCAGCTCCGTGCGCCTGGCACAAATGGGGAAACAATATTTTTTTAAGTGGGGATGAGTTAAGAGGATTTGTTTCAGATACAAGATAGCTCTCATTAATGTTTGCTCACTTGGGTTTATTTAAGTCTTAATTGATTGTCTTCTACTTAACTGCACTCCAGTATCTCTCAGGCTCCAGAACAGACTCTTATGAGACTGAAAATTGCCCCTTCTTCCCTTCCTCTCTATAAAGATCTTTCATGTTAGTTGGCCAGGTTTAATGGATGATAAAGTCACTGGGCTTGCACTAGAGCTGAGGTTTCTCTTTCAAGTCGCTACACACAGCCTCCAGAAAGACCGTGCCCTGGTGGATGCTGTGCTTTGATAGCTGTTTTTGCTGTGCTAATTTGCAGTGATGAAGTTCATCATGTACCAAATCCTGGGTTTGCATGTAACGAGGACCGCTGTGTCTTGTGGCTCCCCCCCTGCAGGCTGCGGGGGGATGAGAAGTTTGGGCAGGGCTGAGCTCCAGTTTGTGGGATTTGTACCCTGCCCTATAGCTGCCATCAACCCTATAGCTCCACCAGGTGTGTCAGCACCTTTGTGTGCCTCTGCCCAAGCAGCTCCAAAGTGTGCTCGGAGCAAAACAAAGCAAACCCCAGCTTTAGGGCAGCTCAGCACACCTGGCTCCGCTGTGTTTCCTGGGGGAACAGACCTCTCTGGGAGCTGAAATCTGACGGGGTAAGCTATTCCTCAAGCCAGCTCCTGAGAGTTCATCCTGCCCAGAATAGGTTCCCTCTGACCAGGAATCCAACCCAAAATAATGTGGGGATTTGGATGCTGAGCTACAGCACTTGCAGAGGCAGCTGCGGCTGGTCCACTGGGAGCACACGTAACGAGCAGGGACTTGTTAGGTGTCATAAGGACAACAGTGACCTTTAATCTGGCTTGCTTGCTTAAAGGAAGCTATTTGTGTTTCTAGAACAGGATTAGATGGAGCCAGAAAAATCTCGAGACTCAGAAAGGCTTTGGAGAGACGTTCATTTCTCTTTAACCTTGCTTTTGGCGTGAGTGCTTTGTACAAAGTGAGTTGTGGCTGTTTAAATGCCTTTTCCTCGCTGGCACCATGCACTGGCACTGAGGAGCATTGAAGGTTTGTTCCTGCAAGGGAATTGACTCTGACTCGGCAAAACGCAATCCTGTTTCTCACCTGTAGCCGGGGCAGCTTTGTGGAATCCATTGCCAAATTCATGCAAAAATTTATTACAGCGATTGAACAGCAAACATCCAAGGCAGCTTATTTTTTTCTGCCTCCCCCAAAGAGACGCTTTCCTTTCGGTATCCTAGCTATAGGATAGAATAATTCCGTTCCTTACTGTCAGCACTCCCTGGAAGCAGAAAACATACCGGGCTATGATGAAACACCTCCTAAAATAACCAGAGCCTTTCCTGACATATCCGCGCGTGTCCTATTGTCGTGAAATGAGCACGAAAAAAAAAAAAAAATGGGAAAAAAAAAAAAAAAGCCTGAACTCGCGGCTGGCGGAGCTCCGGCGGCTGCTGCAAGTCCCGGCTCGGGAGCCCCAGGGGAGCTCGGCGGGACGCCGCTGGCCGCCGGGGCTGCCGCTGGCGGGGCGTTCTCCGGCGGCTCGGGAGGAGCAGCCCAAACTTTGGGCGCAGGACCGAGCTGCGGCGGCCGCCAGGAGCCGCCCGGGGCCGCGCCGAGCCCGCTCCGCCCGCAGCTCCCCGGGGGCTCCGGGAGCGCCGAGCGCCCCGCGCCCCCTGCGCGCTCCGGGAAGGTCCCGGGAAGGTCCCCGCACCCCGGGGTGCCCCCGAGCCGCCCCCGCGGGGGCCGGGCGCATCCACCCGCCCCGCTCGGGGGCCGCGGAGGCTCGGCGGGGCCGGGGCGTTTCGCCACCTCCGTGCGCAGGCAACGGGGCTGGGGGGGGATGGAGAGGAGGGGGCGGCCGGGACCCGTCCGCGGGCGGCGGCGGTGGCGGCTCCGTGCCCGGGCACAGCCCGCACCGGCGGCTCCGCGGCGCGCAGGGGCCGCGCTCCGCCCCCGCCTCCTCCCCGCGCAACTTCCCAAAGCCGCGGCCCCCCCCTCGCCCCCGCCCCGCGGGCGCGCGCGCACACACGCGGGCGCGCGGAGCCGTGCCGAGCCGTGCTGAACCGTGCTGTGCTGTTCCGAGCCGCTCCGAGCCGTGCCAAGCCGAGCCGCACCGCACCTCGCCCGCCGGAGCCCCGCGCATCCCCCGCCGCCCATGGGGCGCGCAGCCTCCGCGGGCGCGCTGCTGCCCCGCCGGTGCTGAGCGCCCCGGGGGCTTGGGGGGCACGGGCACCGAGCGCCGCCCTCCCTCCCCTCTCCGCCGGGGGCTGCGCGGCCTTGGGGCGGCCCCCGGGCATGCCCCAGCCGCTGGGCGCCGCCTGCCCCGCCGCTGAGCGCCGCCGCGGGCGCGGGGCGGCGCGCACGGATGGAGAGCTGAGGCGGTGAGCCCCGCCGGGCCGGGCCGGGCCGGGAGACGTGACCATGTGGATACGCCGGCTCCCGGGAAGCAGGTAGGGGGCTGGGGACCGCGGTTGGGGACCGGGGGGAGCCGCCCGCGGGGCTGCACCGAGCGGGTGCGGAACGGGAGCGGTGCGGGGCTGGAGGAGTTGGAGGCTGAAGTTGCTCCGGAGGGTGGCGGAGCGGGCACGGAGCGATGCAGCCCGGCGACTTGATGCCGGGAGCGCCGCGAGCCGAGCGCCTTCATCCCGGGAGAGGTGGAGAGGCGCCCGCCGCCTCCCCGAGCCCCGCGCGGCGACCCCGGTGGCTGGGATGCGCGATCGGGTTTTCTTCGCCTGTTGTTCGCTGCACGCTCCCGGGGAAAGGCAGCTCCCGGGCCGGGCCCCCCGGCCGGCCGGGCAGGTGCGTTTTGGGGGAAGGGGCCGGGAGGGGCGGGCAGGGCGCCCCGGGCATGGAGAGTGCGCACGCAGACAGACAGCTGGATGTGTTTTGTAGATTAATCGAGAATTGCAAAGCAGAGGAGACAGAGGCAAAGTGTTATGTAACACATTTTCATTACCGCTGCGAAGTCATCTGAGCTGAAATCTTGTTATTTTCGGGGTATTGTGTTTGGAGAACACTAGTTACCCGGCCCCTGCCCGCTCTCTGCGTGTCTGCCCTTAAAGCTGCAGGAATGCCTATTTTTGTTTATTTTGACCGGTTTCAGTAGGATATGTTTAAGGCGGTGGTGTGCCAAACGAGTAAGATGATACGGAAAACTATGCTGCCGTGCGATGTGCCCCACGTTCCTCTCTCCCCAACCCAATTCTGTATTTTTAAAGTCCTATTTTGAACAATTAGGCGCTTGATGTGGGGCACGGGTCAGACAGTGCCGTCTGCCATGACCCTCTCCTGCGTCTGTGGAGCGCGAGAGCGGCTCACACACGGCGTTGTGCTTTCTGGATGTGCAGAGGGTCGTGCTGCAGAGGGGGGTCCCATGGCGAGCGGCCCCACCACAAGGAAAACGAGAATCGGGCCGCACGGCCGCTCCCCGGGGAGCGGGACGCAGAGGGCTGCACGGCTGCGGGATGAGCGGACGGATGGATGCGAGCACCAGTGGCAGCCCTACCCCGAGCAGCAACTAGGGGAGCCCATCAGCCCTCTCTGCCTCTCGTTGCTCTGCTCCCCGCTCCGAGGTGCTCGCGGCAGACACTGGCACGAGTCCTGCTCCCGGCGGGGCAGGGTGCCCTGAGCGCTGTGGAGTGGCCATCGGGACATGGGCGATGTGAAGGGCGCTTCTCCAAGGCCCGCCGGAGTCGCTGGAGGCTTTGTGGCTTGGCTCGAGCATCGGATTAAGGAAGGTGAAACTTGAGCTGAGATTTTCTTCCGTGCTGAAGAACTGGGGGAGGCCCTCAGGTTTTGTCTTTGGTGGCGTTCGGGTTTGTCTCTGGTGTGTCAGGGCAGTCGCACGCAGCCGTGTCCCGGGGACTGACAGCCGTGTGGCACATTCCAGGTGGGCACAGCAAGCCGAGAGCTGCCCGTGGCCCCGGCCTCGTCCCTCTGGCTGTGCTCTGATGGCCCGGGCGAGCCAGCAGCTCTGCACTGCCACCGGAGACGTCCGCCTGGCAAGGCTGTGCTGTGCCAGGGGAAGGACGGAGCCTCCGCGGAGCCTGCAGTGGTGCCGTGACCTCAGGAATTACTCCTGGGCGAAGCACCTGAAACATTTTTCAGGGTGCCTCCCAGTTTGGATGTATTTGGTGGAAGATGAAAAGACCGGCGGAGCTGGAGGGCTGCTTCCCGAGGCTGGAGCCAGCAGAAGACTGTAATCTTAGAAACAGAGGACGCCCTCTGCTTTTTTATTTTGTGAGGAGTTTAGCAAGGAAAATGGGAGCCTTCCGGTCGCTTCTCTCCTCGAATTGCCTCACGAATTTCTTCGCTGCATACCCTGGATCCTCGCTGCCAGCCTGTCCTCTGTACCACCTCATCAGCTTGCAGTCCCTCTGCGTTTCATTTTTAATAAGAGATAACTTTCCTGCTAACCTTGCCTGCTGCTCTCGCTTCTCTCTAACTCTAATTGCTTCTGGCTTTATTTCTGACATTTCCCATGTCATTTCCCCTCATTTTCTTGAAGACTACCAGAAAAATAGCTCCGAGAGAAGCAGCAGACCTTTCCGGTGCCCGTTTCACCCTGTGCAGTCTGTGCCTCCAGTTGCTGGATGCGCGGGGAGGTGGTGCCTGTGCTCCTGCCCCAGGGCTCCTTCCAAGCCTGCTTCCTTTTGCCCCGGGGCAGTGGCGATTTCATGACCCTACAGACGAGCTGAGCTACCCTAAGCTGAGGAAAGCAGCACCTACAAACCTCATAGGGGAACTTTCAGCTCCCCCGGCTGGGTGGGAGAGCAGTGAGGAGCTGGGTGGTTTTGCAGCGCTGCCCCTCAACGCTGCTGCGAGTTCCCCGTGGGGCTGCGGGGCCGGGGCTGTGTCTGGGGCCGCCGGCACCGAGCGTGCACCTGCAGCCGTGTGTGTGCGTGTGCCCGTGTCAGCGCGTCCGTCTGCGCGTGTGCCGGAGTGACAGCTCCTGTGCTGTGCTGTCTGCTAGCTCTGCCTGGTGACTCCCCTCCCGTAGCCACCAATATCCTGTTTTCAACCATATACCCCGATTCTTACGGCATTTAGCTCCGCAGTGATTTGCAGTGAGGGTACAAATCCTGCTTGCAGTTTGTTTGATTGTACAAAGCGACTCATTAAAAGCATACGTTCCTGCGCGTGTGCGCCCAGGAAACTTTATGGGCCCTATAGCTCCTGCCAAGGCAAATATTTCCCATGAATTTCGCTCATCAAGTTCATGCTGTCAAATGTAGATTCAGCCGCTCGTCAAAGATGCAAGGCTTGCAGTCTGGGGAGTAATGAGAGCAGTAAGCAGTGGGAGTTAATGGCCTCCGCTGAGGAGCCCTTACTCATCCCGCATCCACGCAGGGGCTGAGCTGGCTGTTCCCGGGCGAATTGATTGCCACAGGAATTCATCTAGTGTCGCCGGCTATGACACTTAACGGCCACCATAATGCTCAAATAAACTGCGCTTTTACGCCGCGGTTCGTACCTCCGAGCCGGCAGCGATTTCACCGAGGAGGAAAAGGAGCCGTGCCGACACCGAGCAGCCTCGGCGCACGAGCGGCTCTCGTGGCACTGCTGGTGGCGGGGGCCGAGCCGCTGCTGCCCTCTGAGGGCACGGCGACGGCCCTGGGGGGATTGGTGGGGGCATCGCTGCTGTCCCCAGTCCCTGGCAACCTCCTGGGAGGCAGCGCCCGCGTCAGCACCGATCATGCCTTCGTTTGTCATACGGGTCCATGGGATGTGTGAACTGGCTGCCCATCTGCTCGCGGCATCTGAGCGCCGCGGCTCGGGGCGCGCTTTATGTAACCGGCATCTGCTGGCAGCGAGGAGCGGCGCCCTTCCCTCCTGCAAGGCGTAAACACAAAGTAGAGCGAGGTGCCGGCCGGCTCGCCAGGTGGCCCGATAACCTTGTGCTTACCTTGCCTCCCCTCGTGCTGATCCGAAAGGCCCCCCAGCAGGGGTTATTTGTATCGATGCCGGCGTGCAGGGCGGCAGCAAGCAGCGGGAGCCGCTGTGCCACGGCTCTGTAGGGTGTGAATAAACGATGTGACCTCAGACAGGTCGGCGATGCGCTATGAAAATGTGGGCATGCTTCAGCCTCTACATAGAGCTGATAGGGGCAGCGCTGGGAGGGCAGAGGGAGGCATCGATACGCTGAGCTGGGGGTGCGGGAGCTGTGCCGCATGGCTGGCTGTTGCTCCGCGATGGGGGAGCCTCGGGCCCGATGTGGTTTGAGTTTGGGATCAGAAACTTCTGTCGGGGGAGCTCCGAGCTGCCAAGCGCATTGGGCAGCATCAGGGGAGGATGGGGAGTGACCCGGGGCAGACCCCATCTCCTCGGTGCTTTCACATCCCTTCTGCCTCTGTCCCTTCTTCCCCGAGCTGGGCGGTGATGCTGGGGGGGGGCTTTGTGGCCCGGCACCCACCCAGGGGTCTCCTCTGGGTGCTGCTGCTCAGCCCCCACCCCGATGCCTGCTCTCCATGGGGATGAATCCTTCCCTGGAATACCACACAGCTCCAGACCCGACCTGCCTCTGGCACAGTGGAATTAGGGCGGATGGGAATGTTTCCTGTGGCTCTTCTTACCGGGACCTGCGCCTCCAGACTCGGCTCACCTAATTTCCTGTGATGGAGACGGACTTCATCTCATTTCTCTTCGAAACGCATTGATTAAATCAGAACTGCTGGGAGATTTAAACTGAGCCTCTGTGGCCTGAACTTAACTGCGGGAGGTTTACCTACCTTTATCCTTCGACATTAATTTGGTTTTGGGAGGATTCCTCGTGAAATGAGGTTTTTCCTGGCACTGAACCGCTGCTGCTTCTGCTGCTTTACCGATTTCCTTCCCCGGCCTCAGCCTCCCATCGAGGCCATACCGAAGCCTCCTCTCAGTGTGGAGCTGGGACATCTCTGCCTGGAGTCTGCTGGGAGGAGGCCAATGCTGGGGCTTGGGTGGGGGCACAGGAGCCTCCCGGGGAGGGCTGATGGTGAGCTGCCCCCCTGGCACCCACAGCGGGGCTTTGGCACCCTGCTCCGGTGCTGGGGCAGTGACCGTCACCACGTCCTGTGTGTCCCAGCCCCGTGGCCGTGTTCTACCAGCAACTCCCCTGCAGCCACCACTGCTGGAGACCCTCGCCCCCTGCACGTCTTTATTTTTGGAGCTTCATCCCGTGGACGGGGCCGCTTGGAGCAGCCGTCGGAGCGCAGGGGGAGGTGGAGGCCTCCGGCACTAACCCCGAGCGCAGGAGGATGCGGCACTTCTCCGGCGCTTCCTCAGCGCTGCTGAGTGATTCAGCCTTTCTGGTACCAAGCAACAGCAATAAAAGGAGAAGAAATCCAGCTTGGCTGGAGATGGATGCGCAGTTGCATGGAAATAAGCACCCTCCAGGCACCGCCTGGCCCCGAGGAGCACGGCCCCGCGCCCTCCGCCTTCGCTAGCTGCGGGGGAGAAGGTACATGGACTG